TGGACAACTACTGGCAATATGAATAATGCACGAGGTGATCATACAGCTCAGCACTATTTAAAACACCGCTATCGTCAGCTCCGCCAGTAACTAATACATTTCCATTTGATAATACAGATGCTGTGTGTGAATCTCGTGCATTAGTCATGCTACCAGTACTTGCCCAAATGCCTGTTGATGGATCATATAGCTCAGCACTATTTAAATAAATATACGCATTGGGTGTACCACCAGTAATTAATACTTTTCCATTTGGTAATATAGATGCTGTGTGCAAAAGTCGTGCAGTATTCATATTACCGGTAACAGACCATTCTAAACAGAAACATTTGATTGTAATAATTCTTGAAACACTGTTTCTTGTGAAACTTTCAAAATGATGCAATCATGTGTGGAGAGTTCTAGGTTTTGTAAAATGATAATCGTTTCTTACGTTTGATAGAAAGTTTTTCGAACCTTTCGAGAAATGCAAAAAGTCTCAAATTTGTTATAAAAAATCGTTCTTGATCAAGGGGGAAAAGCGAGACTTCAAGAGTGTGCACTTCATCGGTACTTCAGCAGTACTTCACCCGTACTTCTCCAGTACTTCATGTGATCTTTCATCGTGATATAAACTAGCGAATACGGGGATAATTGTATCTTCGTTTCTTCTTAAGATAACGATTGAATCACTCATAACAAGTTCACTATTCTTTTTATGAAACTTTCAGCTAGATATAGAAAACTGTTGGATGCAAAGTAATTACTTATAACTGATTTAAAAGTACCATTTACGGAGACCGGAAAACGTTACTCTGAAACTTACCTGACTGCTGCGTTGTGGTCATAGCTGTTGTTTGTGGTGAAGTTGTTGTCAACGTCACTGGTACTGATGATGATGTTGTGACGGTGATAATAGTTTCTGATTTCTTCGGTGCAAAAACGACGAAGATTAACACCAGAGCGAGAATAACAGCAAAAACTATTAAAACAATAACGGAAATACCGGTTATTTTAACCCAACGACGGTGCCACCATTTGTGTGGTCCATTATTTTCAGTAACAGGCTCGCTGTAAACTTGATTGGTGTGCATATTATGTTTCGTATGACACTGAAACGTATAAAAAAGAACACACTATTGTTCGAAGTTACTTTCTGTTTGCCTATTACTCTCACGTAAGTAACAGAAGATAACTAATATTATTTCCAATATGAATAGGAGTGTTACTTTATCTTTACTTTATAGATAAAGATAAGGATTTAGTTTATCTTTATTATTTTATAAAGAACGATGATAATCTTTATTTTAAGAATAAAGGTAATGAAATAAAGTAAAGCTTTATATTTATTTTTATAAAATAAAGATAAAGATAATCTTTATTTGCAAAACTATAATTATGATAAAGAATAAAGATATCTTTTTTCATGCAATAAATACATATGCAAATACCTTGCATGACAACAGAATACATCTATTAATGCTCGTTGTTATCATCATCATCATTTCCATATGTCAGATCATCAAAAAGAAAGGATCACACAAGAAACGATATATGCGAAAAGTGTTATTCCATATTATAGTTAACCAGATAATGTTATAATTTTTTGTGAGCTGCTCTAAGAAAATTAAAAAAATACGTTTCGATAGAAAAAAAAACTTTTTTTTCTTTATTTCTTCTTTATTTTTAAAATAAAGAGAGATTTTCGTTACTTTCTTTTTTAATATAAAGTAAAATAAAGGTAAAATAACACCCCTAAATATTAAAGGTATTGTTATGCTCTTATCTTAATATGTTCGACGAAAAACATAATTACCTGTTTTTATTTACATATATTATAGAAAACAATACTGATGCAAACTATATGAAAAGTAGTGATACTTTATAATTTTATTCAATCGTTTTTATATCAAAATTCTAGTTTTTAATCATGTGTGATCATGTTCAAGTACATGATAAACAAACACTATCTCACATCCTCAAGTTGGACTCGTTGAAACAAATTACTAGACTAAATCTGAAAAGTTCCTGCAATGAGAATTGGTATAGAACTCACAGGCTAATTGACCTTACCTACCAAGAAATTGTGAAAGTGCTCTATGGATTCAAACTACAATAAATTCGAATGTTTTTCTAACAACAGCTCATTTTTATTCTTGCCTTTTCACTCTTTTGAACTTTGAAGTAGTAACAATCGTCTTGTTGCTTTTTGAAAGGATTTTAACAATATCACTATTAAATTAAATAGTGGTTACGAAACAGTTTACGAGTGCATTCGATGAATTATATATAATTTCAACAATTAAACCAACACGAAATTCAAACAGTATATACAACAGTTAAGTAATCAGTTATTTTTCTTTATGTTGTTGTATATAATATAATTACATTAAAATAAATATAAAGGAGAAAAAAGACTATCTTGCTATCTAGTTTGTTAGTTATTCTTTCGATAAGTATATTAGTTCATTTGAATAAATTGGCGCTATATTTATACAGGAAAAAGAAAAGATCTTCAATGCGTAAGTTATCTCTTGATCGAGTATATGGATGTTCAACTGCCTATCGTCATAGTATTATTGGTTTACCAGATAATCGTGTTGCCTTTCTTGCTGGTTCATATTTAGTTATACTAGATTGTTTAACAAATGAACAACGTTATATATCTTTTTCTTCCATTGAATATCTTTATATATCATCAAGTGGCTTATTAATGGGTATAATAGATCGTTTTACACAAAATGGAGAATCACGTATACATATATATTCTACAAAACCAATTGATTTATTATTTACTATTGAACCAGATCGTTTTGGAAGTTTTATTGGAATAACAATTAATACAAATGATAATATTCTTATGATATTACATAGCGAACCAGCATATATGATTACTATTCGTAAATAAAAATTGATATCTGAAATATTTTATTTGTTTTTTTTTCAGAAGAAATTCAAACTGAATACAATGAACAACAAAGATTTAATATGATTGATCTAGGTTCTGTACGTGCAGTTCATGGATCTGTTATTAATCGAATGACAAAAAAAGAAATTATACCTCATGTTGCATATATTAGTTTTTGTCCATATTCATCAACAATATTTTGTGCAACAGGCTCAGCATTATTTAAAATTTATGAAATTGATAATCAAAATGTTAATCAAAAAATGATTCATTTTCGAGCTGAATTTTATATATTCACTTGTCATTGTTGGCTTGATGTGAATAGTATTCTCGTATAAGTAAATTCCTGTAGTAATTATTAATAAATTTTTTTCGTTGATATTAAGACAGCAACTGATCATGGACATATATTTTGGATTCAAGATGGTTCTATTCGTTCAGATATTAGTCTTGAAGAATCAATTACTATTGATTTACATTTTCTGAAAAATAATACATTGAATGAAAATTCAGGATCTCCTTCGATCGTATCACCGACAAAGTCATTAGAAATATTGAACGAGGACTTGTTCATCAATGATAATAATTTAACAATAATGAATGAGAAACAAATGGATTCTTCAATTAGAAGTGATAAAATATCAGAAGAAATCGTCTTATATCTCGATCTTTTTACATCAACTGAAATTTTACCAAATTTTATAGTATCATTTCGTGAATATATATTTGTAGTAAGAATAAATAATTATTATAACATAATTTTTTCTTTTATTTAACAATTAGTTCACTCCTGTAACTGTTGAACCATTCTTTCAAATCATTGCTCGTTATCGGCTACAAAAAACAACTGATTCTGAAATACATAATATTCATAAAATGTCATATATATTCGATAATAATTCTTCGTTTATCTATCTTCTTACTGATCGTAATCAAATTTTTCGTTATAAAATTAATCAATTGAATCCTACAATTGAATTAGAAGAAAAATATATTTATGGTTTTCATGCATACAATATCTTATCTATCGGTTTATGTACTCATAAACCTTGGTTAATCACTCTTGGTAGTGATAATTGGATAAAAATTTTCGATTATAAAGATAAAGATAGACAAATTGTATCTAAATATATTCCCGATGGTGCATATGCAATAGCAGGTAAAACTATTCAATTCTCATTAAAATCTTATTTATTAAAATCAAGGATCTGACCCATATGGTTTCCATATATGTCTAGCAATGAATAATCGTTTTCAATTATATTTAATAACAAATTATGAGTTACGTTTAGTTCATCAATACGAAACACGTAATATACGAGATTTAGAAATGAGTCAATCAGGACATTTCATAGCTGTTATAACGAATAATTTAATAAAAGTTTATTCAACGATACATTTCAATTTAATAAGTCAATTACGTGGTCATGTAGGAAAAATCAAGCAAATTATTTGGTGTAAAAATGATTCCATTCTTATTAGTTGTGGAACAGATGGAATGATTTATATGTTTAATATTTTTACTGGTAAAATTTTTTTTTTCGTAATTTTAATTTTTCTAATTAAATATTCTAGGTATGAGAGAAAATGAAATTATAACAAAACAATTTCGCTATGTCGGTATAACTGTAACAAATGATTGTAATCGTATATATGCAATAACATCCGATTCAACAATTAAAATATTTCATAATACAAATCTTGAACAAGAATGGTCGATTGAAAATAATTTTCTTCCATCAGCTATTTGTTTATCGAAATCCGAACGTTTACTTTATGTTGGTATGACACATGGTATTATTCGTATATATACAATACCATTTACAAATGATTCTTATATTGATTTACCAGCACATTGTTCAAGTATACGTCGTTTATTAGTATCATATGATGATGAATATTTAGTATCAATTGCTGAATCTGCTTATTTACTTCTTTTTAAACAAACAAGAAATAATTTAAATTCGGTTTCAAGCCAATATCAATTTTCACAAATGTCTTTGAAAAATTTCGAAATAATCAATGAATCGAAACCAATACAACCGATGTTTGAATATATTTTAGTTACAAAATCCGAATTTGATGAACAGAAAAGAAAAATAAAAGAAATTCAAGCAAGAATCAAGTGAGTGAAATAAATGAATTTTTACTTTGATTTGTTTTGTTAGTGAATTTGAAACAGAGAATAATTTAAAATTACGTTCAAAATATATATCATTTACTAATAATTTAAATACGTATTCGAATAAATTTCAAACAACCATGAAACAACTTATTTCGACATATGAACAATTAAAATCTGAGATTGCAAATAATAATGATCAATTTTCTCAACAAACTAATGGTATAGAAGAAAAATATGATGCATTACAAAATCATGCTGAAGTTATTTATGAAAATAAAATGATTGAAATAGTTAGAAAAATTTCTTTTTTCTTCAGTTAATCATTTGGATTATATTTTCTAGCTTTCAAATATTCAAAATAGTCAAGTTGAATTAAAAAAAATTCAAATAGAATATAAAAATAAACAAATTGATTTTAATGATAAAGAACATATTGATTTAAATGAAATAATCGATAAAGTTAATTTAACACTTCAGTCAAAATGGCAATCAGCTGTTCATGATTTCGAGATTATTCAAGAAAAAGAATATGAAATTGATGAATATATAAGACAAATGGAAATCGATATTGATGATGAAATTGAAAATGTTAAAATTAATTATGAAAATGAATTGAAATTTTTAAATGAATATGTTAGACGTCTTACTATTAATGTATGTTATATAGTTTATCGGAAGAAAATTGAAATCTGACTATTTTTGATTTAGGTGAGTACTCATCGGAAACGTTACAATGGTATAATCGCTCGAATGGAAACTCGTGATGTTGAACGAAATGATGTTGAAAATGAAGTTACAGAATTATACAATCGTCAATCAGAATTAATTCAAAAACTTGACCATTTTCATTTCAGTACGAAAATTTGTGCCTACGCTATTCGGTGATGTCAAGTAATCCGGAAAATTTTTATTTAAAGTTTATTAATGATAGGAGACATAACAAGTAAAAGGTGTAGAAATATTAGACACAATCTGATAAGCTTATTTCTTTGAAGCCATTAGAAGCGAGAATCCTTCGAGAAATTCGGCACGATCGATGTCATCGTTGTAGTAGGGGGCGG